AAAAGAGTCAAACATAAGCATCTGGGGGTTGAAGGCAGTAGGAGTGGAGACTTATTGGGGTCCCCAAATTAGATTGAAATCCCTAGCACCGATCCATGGGCACCCATAGGAAGTGATGATACTCGAAATGGAGCCAAAAAATTCCTCCTTGTCCCCCCAACATTAGGATCATATACATTTGATAAACACCAAACAAACCCATCATTGTTTGTAAGGGAAAGAGAAATATCATGGAAAGAAGAGTGAAACAAAATCCCAGAAACAACAGCGGGGTCCCAAATAGTCAGAAGGCCTCCAGAGAGGTTACAAAAAGCAACAGAACCAAAGTCTATAGGGTGGTGGCCCCAAAAAGATCTAAAAACGGAGAGATCAAAGTTCGAGAGCTTGGTTTCCTGCAAAACCACAATGTTAGGTCTACATCTACGGATCAGTCGATGCAGAACCCTTCTTCTTCTCGCACTTCCAAGCCCACGAACATTCCACGAGAGGACGATCATTGAGGACGAAAGACTTTCCCTCTGCTAGTGGCACCCATAGCACCCGAAGAGAGGGGGTTATACTAAATCCCTGCAGCCAGCTCCGCATCCTCCTTTTGAAGATGACTTCTCTGCTCCTAGTTCTCGGTGTTGGGATGTCCATTAGGGCAATCATCTCCTTGATCAGCTTGATCTCTCATTTGAGTGACACCTTCATGCCCTTCAGGTGCTTCGTAGCACACTCCTTGACCAGTCCCCTCTTGTGCTTTTTAATAGACCAGTTTTTGTCTTTTGGGGTCAAGTCCTCTTTAGAGGAGCCTAAAGATTCAATCATACAGAGCGGAGGGGCCATGGGGATGTTTGAAATCGTAGCTAGCAGAAGGCACTTCTCTCTCTATTTCTGGGTTGCCATCATAGAAGGGTTCTTGAAGGACAGGCTTCTGAAGTGCCTACTGAACTCCCATTTAGAGAGGGTCATAGCCATTGCATCTTCAGGTGCAATCTCTAAATCTGAAAGCATTACATCTCTCCTTCATAACATCCAGGATAGTCACCAAGGGTGCCATTATCAGGGACAACAAAAATAGAATACTCCTCCTAAGCAACAAAAGCACTGAGCATGTCGAGAAGAGAGCCCACAACAACAACAGAGAGCCAAGACCAGGAAGAGGGAACAAAGGAGGAGGTCTGAAAACCACCAGTTGCAGGTCCGAGTTTAAATGCTAAGAGCTATCTTCAAAGGGTGCAACCTTTCCAGAACATCGCTCCTTTTAGAGGCGAACAACATTCAGCGTCATATATTCGGTCGAGGGAGATCTCCTTAGAGGATTACCAAAATCCAATTGTTGAGAAGGATTTGGGTCTAGGTCAATATCCAAACCCTTACCTTTCTTATGATGACTCTTTGATATCATTCTCGGATTTGAATAGACAGTCCCACAACCGTCATTTACATCTAACCATTGAATTCGGTCGTCCTACAGTGGGGCCGTTAGATTGCCATCAACCAATGTCCTCTCGTCAACACAAGACGACGCCTTTTCGGAGATAGGACATGTGGGCACAGTTACAGAGGCTGCATGGGACAAGGCCGCCAAAATGAATAATGTTCGATCATGCATGCCCTCGAACAAGACCACCACTTTTAACCTTTTGGGACAAACTCAAGTTTGAATTTGAAATCCGTATTGAATGCCGTCTGTCTTTCGCGCTGTCTAAGGTACCAGGATTGTGACCAACTCCCTTCTTTCGCTATTCTTTTTGGAAATGCTTCAGGGGAGGTAGATCTCTAGTCTGTCTAGCCCTCCCGTTGGTTATCTTCTGTCTTAGGAGCCTGCTTCCTGTCGTTGGAAGGTTTACTCCGGCCCAAATTCATATTAGCATTACCAGAGGAAGTTGAGAAAGAAGACTTGGGATAGGGCATATGAACAACAAGGTTGCCTTGTACGATTTAGAGAGAGACGTTGAAATGATCGTCATCCACTTTCAACAAAATGGTCAGGGATATTTCTGTCAGGGATAAGCCACACTTTCATCCTCAAGGATCCCATGGAAGGACCTGCTGAGGTGAACCAGTCTATCTCCACTAGGTTGCTGCAAGCTTGAGTCACCAGTACAAAGATTTCCTTAGTCCAGGAATGGATAGGTATACTTAAAACTTTCACCGAGACCGAAGGAGGTTTAAAGAGAGACAAGTTAGCCTCGATGGACCATCGCTCCACCGTCATGAGCACTCCCTTGAATCTTCTAAAGTGCTACTTCAAAACCCTACACATAACATTTGGGCTATTGAAAATCATAAGAGTTCTATGGTTAGGGATGATCCTACAAGTTAATGGACACCTCCAAGTGCAGGGCACCCAATCTTGAAGCATACTCAAGTCGGCCAGCGGAGGACTAAAAGAACATACTAGAGCCTTGAGTAACTGGGAGTCCCACTGAGTAGTGGAGCCCTTCCTAACCTCAAGCACAAGTATCCCATCCGCAGAGGCAGGAGAGGCTAGAAGAGCAGGGGGTTGAGAAGGTGGAGGGCTGAAACATACCTCTTTCCTTGAAAGAAGAGGATGAGCTACAACTGCTAGGACCATGAGCTCCTTTTAGGATAGTTCGACCACCACTCAGAATACGTGAGGCCTTTGACGAGCAGAACTCCATGATCCATTCAAACAGTTGACCTTAAGGTACTCAGTAAAGCCTTTAGCACCACCTCTAGAGGCTCTGGATGATCTGGAGCAGTTACTGCTATGGATGATTTAGAGAAGTTACTGGAACTATTCCATGCTGGGAGGGAACGACATCCAAACCTACCCATATTGGCAGGACAAAAGAACTAGCAAAAGAGGATAGGAAGCAGAAGATAAAGGTCACCAGTTACAAGAGTAGGTGAGGAGCTAGAAGAGGAAGAAGGCGAAGGGAATCAGCCTAGAGAGAGGGAGGATAGATATGAAGGTTCTCCCAATTAGCAGGGAATACAAAAAATAGTTTGCACCTTGTATTTCAGAACCTTGTTTAAAATAGATATGGATTCCCGAGAACCCTGCTATTGGTATTTGAGCACAAGGTGTGTACGGGGCTAAGACTTGCATTACGAAAACAATGAATGGTGGAGTTTGATGGATACATGGTTTAAGGTGGAGAAATATGAAGGCAAAGTATTTGTGAAAATTCCGTAATGGAGGCAAGTGAGAAAAAATCAAGAACTCTATTCAATGAAGGTTGCCAAGGCAATTATGATGATTTTGCTATCAAGGTGGAGATTGTTGGATTAGGTGATAGGAAAATCACCGTACTTATACTTATGTTTTCATTAAAATATTAAAGGTATTATGGTAAAAAGAGAAGGGGATTTTTTAGGGACCAAGAAAGGAGCTCAAGGGGATATTTACAAAGAGAATCAAGGAAGGCATAATACCATCCTTTTGGGGTCACCTTTTTGGAGTTATAGGAAGGGATCTCCAAGATGGAGATAAGTCTCCAAGAGAGAGAGAGAGAGAGACATGGCCTCCGAGAGAGATACGATATTTCCATGGGTTTTAGGTTGGTAAAGCTTCCACTTCTAGAGAGAGAAAATCTCTCGGTTGATCTAAAAGTTGTATTTTCAGTAGCGCTATTGTGGTAAGAAAGAAGGTATTGATCGATGGTGTTGCTCGGTCAGGAGAGCAGATTTAGAAGGGAAGATCGATCATGATTTTTTACCGATGTTTAAAGGGAAGCATTATCTCTTGTAACAAAAAACTGTAATCTTTATTGTGATAATTTTGAAAATCCCAAGGACGTGGATGTAGCCCTACGGGGTTTAAAACGTAAATCGTGTGTGTTGTTGTGGTGCTTTTTTTTGTTTGTTTTATCTTTGACACTCAATTTATAGTTGTATTTATCTATTTCGTATATTAGCCAATCATGTACACGATCTTAGATGAGATCCTGGTACTTGAGATTTTCAATCCTGCAAGCGAGATGTTCTCGAAAACCTTACACATATGAACCCTATCTTGCGTTTAGAATGTTGTGTTTAGGGGAGGTCCGCCCTCTGAAGACCTTATTTATCATAGAGGTCAGCCCTGCCAAGGGCTTTTTACTCACAATAATCGCCCACTTCATGATAAAAGGAGATATTGAGGGGCATTGGAGAGGAAGTAGAAAACCATCGCTAATTTCAAGATTGCCCCCCATTAAAATACCAAGAAAATAAGGCCACCATCTTTACTTTAACTCGAATAATTAAATACTAGATTAAGCATGCCCCATAAACTCTAAAGAATATTAAAATTTTTAATATAAGCGTGCCCCCCTAACTTTCATGGGAAAGAGAAGATTCCTAAGTCCCACAAAAAATAATAAATATTGCTTTCCTTGGTCTTATTCAAATTTCAAAGTCAAAGTCCTAAGTCCCACAAAAAATAATAAATATTGCTTTCCTTGGTCTTATTCAAATTTCAAAGTCAAAGCCCATGTAAATCTTTGCAAGGTACATTTTTTAAGCATTAAAATATTCGTTTCATGTTTTAGACCCACAATCATGAAGGTCGAGATTATTGATTTCACAGTATGGGAACTGGTCATGGGGCCAGTGAGGTAGGTAGTTTGTAATTTTGTATGAATTTATTTTATTTCTTTTATTTAAAAAAAATAGTTTGATGGGCTGTAAGTGAAACCTCATCTCATAACCCATAAAAAATTGTGATTTAATTATTGAAAATTTTTTATATTAATCATTTAAGCTTGAACTCTGTGCTTGTGGAAAAAAAAAAAGATTTTAAGCTCTAAAATAATCTATATTATAACAAATTATCTAGAAGGTCTATTTCACCTTAAAACTAAATATTCATAGATTATGAAGATTTGTATCTTTTGTTTGAATTTCAAATTTCGTCAGTATTAAAAGTTTGATTTTAAATCCGATTTTAGTTGCTAAAAGTACGTTTTAGACAAAGATTTCAGGTGAGGCTTTATTTTGTTTTCGTAAAGCCTAAGCCTTATAAAAGCTTCATCCATTAGTAAAAGGCAAGAAATGTCGATTCTGAATTCACTTTTCTGATGACGCGCGGCTTTTTGCGCGTGTTTGCTCCACTCTTTCTCTCAGCCCGCCGCCAACGACGTCGTTCCAAACCTCTCTGAAAACGAAGGCCGGCCCCTTTCTCACTCTCACCAACCAAATCATCAGCTGCAAATGGGTTGTGGTCTTCTCCCCTTAAATAAGGACTCTGAAACTCAAACTTTACTTTGCCTTTTGAAGTTAAGGAGCTCTTCTCATGGCATATTCCACCACTTCTTGGCGGCTGCTCGTCTGCTCCCTCTCTCTCTGTCTCTTGCCACTCGTTGCATCTCAGCTCACTCATCCTTCCGAAGGTGAAATAAGCTCTCTCTCTCTCTCTCTCTCTCTCTCTCGCCGGCGTAAACACACACAAGCACAGTAATGGCTCTCTCTCTCTGTCTTTCTCTCTCTGAATGGTACTCATTTGTTGGTTCAGTGGAGGCTCTGAATTCGATTGCTAAGCATTGGGATTTGGGAAAATGGAGTTTCAGTGTGGACCCCTGCACCATAAATAGTCCTTGGAGTTTCCCGAACAACCCTGGAATTGGCTGTGATTGCTCCTCCTTTGGTAACTCTACATGCCATGTCACACATATGTGAGTTTTCTTCTTCTTCACTATGCATCAGCTTTGCTTTTAAGTTTGAACAGCTATTTAGATTTCGGTATTTTTTTTTTTTATAAATTCTTATGTCTTGGGACGGTGATACCAGATCACCTCCCATTTAAAGTTTCCCTCCATGTGTGAGGGTGTTTGACCTTATGTGGATGGGGCACATATAAATCATCTGTAGAGAGAGCAAAGTGGATAGAGTGAGAAGTTTTGGGGAAAGAAAGCTTGAAAATTTTGCTGGAAAATCGTTGTGCTCTTGTGTTTGGCCATATTTTATTGGTATTTCTTTGCGATGATGGAGTTGGTTGATGGTGTTGAAGAAAGGAGTTGATTGATTGATAATGGTACTGTGATAGGTAAATCAATTTGATCCTTCTTTGATATCAATATACCGCTAGGTGATGTAATCTAAAGCAATAGGATTGAGGAATAGGGCATAATAAAATGGAACTTCACTATTTTATTTCAATGAAAAAGATAGGATACAACCCTTTTTATAGGAAGGGAAGAAACTGGGAGGGAATCACTCAACCTCACGTGGGAATCAATCACCACTTGGAGAGGAATCACTCACTCTCAAAGAAGGCTAAAGACAATTCTCAATTCCAAGTTGATGGAATGGAGCCCTTTGGGGGTATTTATAGGTCAAAGAAGATATTTCTAGAGGAGGTTTCTAGATACTTCTTTAAACAATTATTTATTGTTGAAAATTTCGAAGTATCTAGGAAACTTCTTAGGATAATGATTTAATTTTGTTCTAGGTTTCTTTGGAACCTTCAAGTATCCTCCTTCTAGATTTAGGGTTCTCCCTAGTGGCGAGGCAAGTTGGGGCAAATTTAGTGCTCCACTCTCCCCTACCCAAAACTCCCTCAAAAAATATTAAAAAAAATATATCTAAAAAGTTAGAAATCTGACTGATATGATATTTCCTAGCCAAAATCTAGAAAAAGAAAGAGTTAGAGAGAGAGAGGGAGAAGGGTTATGAAGTTTTGGTGAGAAGAGAGGCTACCCATAAAATCTCTCTCTCTCTCTTCCTCTTACATCTTCCTATCGTCCTCTTTGTTACTTTCCCTTGCATCTTCTTTCTTCTATCACAAAGAAAATCTCCAATCTACTCGCCACCACTTCCAAGATCTTAGAGAGAGAAAATTGTTGAAAAGTTTAGAGAGAGAATAAATACGTTGGTTATTGAAGATGAAACTCGAATCACAAACAAAGTAATTGTTCGGGCCCTTAGAGCATCAGACTTTGCGAGCTGCTCTTCCCTTCACGTTGCCAAGGGAACTGTGGACGACAATGGGTTTAGAACACCGTCGAGTCTCACATCGCCGGGCCGGCCCTTGGGGATTTGAGACGAAGCAAAGAGAAAGATTTTGGGGGGGGTGCATGAGGCATGTTGGTGATCAATAGGGAGGGGGTGAGAGATAGAGGAAGGGGGCTTATGTGGAGAGCCCTGGAGGTGGAGATAGTTACTAAAGAGAGAGGGAAATATCCGATAAAGAGAGAGGGAGAGGCTGAGTGAAACGTGGTGAGAGGGACGCACGGGCCCAGAGACCTCTTCTCTTATGGGCACATGGTCAAACTCTCACCACTTTCTCCTTTTTAGTTTTATGACTTTTTTTTGGGTCTTTTGAAGTGTCTCCAGCTTGGGTGATTCCACTCGGACTCACCCGAGTAACTCGGCTTGGGCTAGGATAGAATCCTTGGCCCGAGCAAGTTGCGGAACACTGTTTGATATTATGAAGAACTCTATACAAAACCCACAAAACTTGTACATTTCCTCCCTTGATAATGAATGCGTCCTTGCCTATTCCCCGTGGTTGTAGCCCATTTTGGGTGAACTACATAAATTGGTGTGTACATTTGCTTTGTGTCTGTGTTGTGGTTTATTGGATTCCTATTTTATTTACTTTTGGTCCCTTTTATATTTTTCCCAAATTCATTGCACATATTGTTGTTCTTGGACATCTTTTTTTGTTGAAATCAGCTTGCCGGTAATTGCTGAGTTACTTTTGAGGTGTTAGGTTTGTTGTTGTGGGGAGCTCACCCCATTAAGTAAGAATTGGGGTTATCTCAGTTTGCAAAAAAGCGGTATTAAAGATCAAAGAAGTTGTGTAGTAATTTGGGAACATTAATAACTCATAAGTTTGAGTTGTAAAATTTGATGGGAAAAAGGATTATAAAACTTGGAAACTAAAAATACAAGATTCATTGGTACATAGGGGCAACGCAAAACATTATTTGGATTTGATAAGAAACTAGCAACTATGATCAATGATGATTGGGATGGATATGATCAAAAGGCACGAGCCACTATTCGCTTATGGATGACAAATAAAATATTGTTTAACATTGTTGGGGAAAAAGGCAGAAGATTTAGGGGAGCAATTAGAAAGTTAGTATCAAATAAAATCATTCACAAACCAAATTTTGTTGAATGGAAAATTGTATTCTTTGAGAAGAAAAGAAAAGTGTTGGCACACTTCAATAATAGTATTTGCCAACTTGAAAGTATTAGAGTGAAAATGGAGGATGAGGATATGGCGGCTACTTTATTTTGTATATTGTCGAAATTCGATGATAACCTTGTTTCTAATTCGAGTTGTAATAAATAAAATTCCCTCGATTTGTGCTCAATTTGTGGTGCTTTCCTTGTTGATGAACTTTGAAAGAAGGCATCTTAAGGTAATTTAGTGGAATTGAAAATGGAAGCTCTTGTGGCAAGGGATTGATCAAATTAAGGGAAAATTACAAAAAAACCCCAAGGCAGACTTTCTAGACAACCTCTTTTTTGCAACTTTTACCCCAAAACAAATTTTCATAGCAACCCCCCCCCCCCCAAGTCAAAAAGTCATATTTTTTAGACGAAAATTCCCTTTCCCGTACATAAGAAATTATGTTTGGCCAGACATTGACATGGTCTAACGCTCAATACGGGGAAGGGACTAAGGTCGTGGTGGTAACACCCGACACCCTAGTCGCCACATTGTGGTTTCCATTCCCATCAATAACACCACCCCACTAACTACTTCAAAAAACTAACTCCTAATCTACTTGAAACGGGTAGGGGCTTGTCTTCCCCACTGAATTAACCCAAAAAAAAAGACTAATGCTCAATACGAAAAAAGGACAAAAACTACAACAACTGTTGGACCGATTGCATGATACTGCTGGACTGGGGCTGCACAATGCTGGACTGAAAACTAAAGTGCCGGACTGAGAGAAAGTTTTGCTGGACCACTCCTTACCTGCAGGAACGACGACAATGCATCGAAAACTGTCGGAGCCCATCACGAGATTGCCGAACTGCAAAAGTAACATAAGAAAACTGCCAGATCAAGTGCATAATGTGCCGAGCCGCTTGATGACAACCTGAGGCCACAACTGTCGGATTGAATGATGGGTGTGCTGGATTGCTTGAACATGTTGTTTGACCCTTTGATTAGTGTGTCGGACCGCATGCAAATCACATCAACCTGCCGGACCAAGATTTGTACACGCTAGACTAGGATAAGCACATTCCGGACTGCCTATATTATTTTTCAGAGCCCATAATATTCCAAAACCCAAATATGTCGGACGCCTGTATAATTTATCGGACCCATTAATAATCCAGAACCCCTAGCCAAATATTACTCCAGCACCTTTAGTGTCGGACCGCCTTTATAATTTGCTGGACCCCGATATTATTCCAGAACACAGTCAACATTAAAAAAAAAATGAATTCCAGAACCCATAGTGCTGGACAGCCTATATAGTTTGTCAAAGCCCATATTAATCTAGAATATCTATTGCCAGACCGCCTTTATAATTTGCTGGACCGCGATATTATTCAAGAACCCCTATTGCTGGACCGCCTACATAGTTTGCCGAATCCCATATTATTTTGGAACCTCTATCGCCGAACCGCCTGTATAACTTGTCGGAGCTTATTTTATGCCAGAACCCCTTGTGTCAGATCGCCTGTATCATTTGCCGGACCCCATATTATTCCAGAACCCCTATATGCCAGAATACCTGTATATATTGCTGGACTGCATGTAAATTTTGCCGGACCGCCTATGCATTTTGCTAGACAGACTCTACATTTTGCCCATTGAATTTTTTGAGCATCGTATGGATTTTTTTTTTTTTGATAAAAATTAACTGTACTCCAATAAAAGAGTATTTATACATAGTGTTTAAACTGAGAGTCCCTACCCAGTGGGACTTTTTGTAAAAAAGGTTGTTAGTCAACCCTATACAAAATTGGTTAAAAGGGCAGCCCTTGGTACTACAAGATATACAATGAAATTACAAAAAAAGGGCTTATAAGATGGCCCCTATGTATAAAGACTCTGTGATATAGGTCAAAAAATAGCTGGCCGAGAACTGCTGCTCCCTAATCCCTCTGTGGTCTGGGTTGAAGGTGGCCCAGAAAATTCTTCAGTGTGAGCCCTGGCCCCATCCTTTGCTAAAAGATCAGCTAAGTCGTTTGACGTCCTCAAGGTATGCGTCCAAGAAACGTCCATATCCCTGCAAATGTCAATGATCTCATAAAAAATGAGAGCAAGATGTCGAGGGGAGGAGCCCCCTGATGCCCATGAAATGATGTTACTAGCATTCCCTGCCACAGTAAGGTTTTGTCCCCAAGACAAATTAAAGCTTTTCAACCCTAAAAGAAGGGTTGAGAATATTCTGGGGCATCGTATGGGAAATTGATTTGTATGAAGCGGTATTGAGCTAATGTTGTGGCTGATAGAACTTTAGCATGAGATTATTTTGCGGCCTCATGGTCTTGGCATCACATTATATCATACTTGTATTTTCTGTTGGGCATTACATTATATCATGCTTGATAAATACATTGATATCGTCCTATGATGTTGCATTGTGGCTTTTCACATAAACATGATACATTCAGATATTCCCAAAAAAAAAAAAATTGATAAGAAGTCAGTATGTTCATGTTAATCTTTGAATCATTGACTTTTCCTGTTAACTTC